CCCCCCCCTCTCTCTCACTCTCACACGGGGACTGACTAACTGGAAACTGGTAATTGTTGAGGTGATTGCACTGTGTTACGCGTGGCTGTTTAAAGAAGATGCTGCCAGGCCATCCAATTGCGAAGCAGAGGACAACAGTGAGACAATTGAAGCACCACTCCTCTCTTGAGCCCTGACCTGAAAAGAATCATGATAGCTCAACAACTACTGACCATGGAGCTACCCGTCTCTCAACATCAAAATGCCTTGGTTGCTCCTAATTGTATAAATGTATTGTTCAAGTTGTTGTGTTCTCTGCACTCTCAAGCCTCAACTTCATTTCATCTAATTAATTAATTATTTATTTTATCTTACACCATCCCTTCAGATCCCATTTTGCGCAGCTTGGATTCATTGACATGACCTCACCTAAGCCATATTGATATTCCTTTCACCAATTGACTTTTTGCAGAGCAAATACTGTTTGCCTTGTTCCTCCATATCCATATATACTCGTAGCCATAACGTTGTTTATTGAAAGTTTGAAACTTAAAAAGGGTGGTCCCATCTACCTCCTCCACCCACGAAACGACACCGGGGCTCCCTGGGCGTGGCCGTGGCGCCTAGCGGTAGGCCCTCTCAGTCAATTGACGAGAATTTCCTAACAGCTCTGCATGAACAGTTCTACACGTCTACAAATTTGTGGACCCACCCCATCACATTGAGAGAGGCCTACTGGCGTGCCCCAACGACAGTATGTGTTAGTCATTAGTGACAGTGTTCGGTGTATTAGTCGCTATCCCAATTCCCAACTCTATAAGCGCGTGGCTCATTACGCCGACGAATGTTTCGGCCTCTTCCAGGTGTTGACGTGGCCCCTCCTCCGTCGCCCGTAAAAGACCGTGTATTTTTCGAGCGTCCATTTTTGTGAACAAATGACTCGCGTACGGCCCACGCCGGCACCAACAACCGCGTATTATTAATTAACTCATGCGAAAACAATCCGGAAAATAAAATATAATAAAAAATTCCACGCTCGAGGAAGCTTCCACCAAACAACCACAGAAATTATCATTAACAGAAAGATTTATAAAACATTAATCTCTCGGCTTTTTTCGCATTTTTTTTTTATTTTTTACAGGCATGCCTCAAATTCAACCATCGCTACACGCCGGCGGCATCACACGACCGACTGCCAGACGCCGACAATCGCACCCACCCTTAGCGGTACCTCCGCTTCACAAACAAGCCCTGACCCCTGACCCTCCCCATTCACGACCGATCGAACAGATCCACGGTCCAGATCAAACCATATCGTATCAAGATCAAATCTTATCCAGCTTCTCGGCTTTGACGACGGGGTTCGCTTTAGCGATGGCCTCCCTCCCTAACGCCTTGAAATCGAAGGTACAGCCATGCTGCTCCGGGTACCGGTGCGAACCACATAACGTGATCCCGCATCGGCACTTGAACCCGGTCAGTCCGACACGCTTCCGACACGTTGCGCATCGGTTCGGCTGCGGAGCCGCCGAAGGTGACCCAACGGATGCCGGCACGGTGAGCGGATGATCCGCAGGGGTTTCGTTCGGAAGTTTTACAAGCGGGTGAGAAACGGGATCGGTTGACAGGGCAGCGGAGGAGGAAGAGGACGAGGAGGCAGCAAGGGATTTCTCGACGGCGATCTTGGCGGAGGATGCTTGTTCCTCCTTGAGGCGAAGGTCCCTGTAACATTTCGAACATAGATTTAGCGTAGCAGGGCTACCGAAGAATCCGCAGTTGTTGGCACAGAGACGGTGGCCCTCAGGAGCTTGGCATCTATGTTCTTCCGCCATATTAGGTTTTCTCTCCTTTGAACTCCCGTGCGAGGATTTTCGTTCTTCAGATCGACCGATCGATCGTTAAAAATCTCAGCTTTGTGACCAAATCCCAAACTGCACCCATCGAATTCATATTTGAAACAGAAATACATACACTGATTGAGACAGATTCAACAACAGATGGAAGAACAATCAAGGAATAAAAATAAATGCTTAAAATAACGAAAGAAAAAAGTACGGGATTAAAAATCGTTAAAACTGAAAAAGGAATAGGGAAGTGCTTTCAACCTGAACAACGAAAACCTGAAAATTTTCTTGTCTTCTGCGATTGGAAGGGGAGGAGGAAGAAATATAGGATGCGACGACGGGAAGATAGAAGCGGAAAACGCCTCTTCTCTTTCTCTGTGTCTCGAATCTATCTATTTTCTCCTCCTCTGAACCTCTCCCTCGCTTTATATATGCCTGGAGATAATAAACGAGTTAATAAAGAAAAGAAAGGGAAAGATGAAAAGGAGAGAGAGATAGAGAGAGAAAAGGGGAGAGAGAAAGGGGGTTTGGGTTAGGAGCGACGAATAAAGCAGAAAGATATTAACCCCGCATTTTCTTAATTTTAAATAAAATAAATAATTAAATATCCAGCCTGGATTATTTTAGTAAAATAAGAAAAAAGAAATTTACCATTGCAAATTACAAATTTACCACCCAGTTTGCTAAAATGCGGATTTGACACCACGTCCGTCCTCTTGTAGAAGTATAAGACGGCTGCGGGTCCCAGTGAAACGTACACGTGTCCAAATCATGTTGTTTGATGCTTTTGCGTCACCCTACTCCTACTGCTTTCGGCTCTAAGTATTATTTGGTTATTTATTAATAAAATAATAATTTTGGAGAGAGAAGAAGTGATCGGATACGAGTTGGCCTATCGAATATCGTGGTTGTGGCCTTGTGGGTACTGATTTGGAAATCGAAAATTCGAAATCCAAAAATCTTTTCCTGGAAGCAAACCCCAGCGGTATCTTTGAGCGAGGAAAACCCCCTCTGTTAGTTTTCTGATTCCCAGTTTTGCCCCCAAGATTCCCCGATTCGACGATTCCATTTCTTCCTTCGTTGATTCAATCAAATCCCTATCTCTCCCCGCAGCTTATTCGCGTTTATAATTCTAACTCCACGTCGATTAGGACACGTATTTAGTCAATTATGTTTCTAGCTGACGTGGCCTTCTCATAATGCATGTCTATTAGACCTATTCATGGGCTGAGTAATCCAACGGCCCGGCCCGGCTACAGTCGGGTTTGGACAATATTATTAAACCCGTAGGCCCAAGCCCTATTATCTAAGGCCGACTCAATTTCGGGCCAAGCTCGGGAATTCACATAAAAGCCCAGCCCGACAATATTATATATATATATAATAATTAATAATATATATTATCAAAAATATAATAATATACATATTATTTCTTAATCCTAATTCTTCTCCTTCGATAGTCTCCCTCTTTCAACCTGTTCGCAAGGTTCAAAGTATCGACACATATCAGTCCGTATCGATTGATACATATTGTTCTAGGACCTTTCCAATACACCCCTATGGTGGGTGTATCGGAGTTCTGACCGATTCAAGGGGTAGAGGAGCTCTAAACCGCCCCCTCGATCAATTTTGAAAAAAAAAAAAAGAAAAAAAAAACAATATCAATATCGCCTGATACACCTTTACTGACGTATCGAGTGTATCGATATTTTGAACCTTGCATGTTCGAACTTGCAAGAACTTGGAAGTTTCTTCTCTCCCACATTAGTGTCCGCGGTATCTGTTGGATCATCTCCTTCCACAAGGGGCGATCGACAACTGGTGACTAGTGAGCGGTGAGGTCTCATTCTCTATCTCTTTGATTCTCCCTGATCTCTATCTATTCAGACCCCAGAGGCAACATCCCTAATCCCCATTCCACAACAACTTCGGGAGCATCTACAGTGGCACTCTAGCAACCACAAACAACTCCAGGTTTCTCCCTTGAAATAGCTCTGTTAGCATCTACAACGGCACTCCAGCAACCACAAACAACTACAGGTTTCTCCCTGGCAACAACCCTGATAGCATCTACAGCGGCACTCCGACAACCACAAACAACTCCCGCTCTCTCTCTCTCTCTGGCAGCCAAAGCGACACTCTGATGTCCCCATTCTTAATTGATGTCAGGTTTTGAACTTGGGCTCGAGCCTCAGGCTTTTATGAGGGCCGGGTTTAGGCCTAAGTTTTGGGTCCGATGGTCGGGCTGAGTTAGGTTTGAGCCTTAATATATTATGTTGATAACAAGTGAAAGCCCAACCCAGTCCGGCCCGTCTAATAACTACTATCACGGTTCAGGATCAGGGCTCCTCACGGGTCACGGCATTGGCCTAACTCGGAGCCCTGGTTGGATGGGCCAGTCCGTAATATGCAGAAATTGCCGATTGAACCGGGATCGACTTGATCGGGTCCTTTCCGTAATGATTAATACGGTTATTCTGCACCAATATCAGAAATGTGCTCTTCATGTGCATGGGCCCACATTGAATCAAAATCGTTAATAAAATCAACGAATCATGTTAATGTTGAGCTTAGGATTTAGATCCTTTATTCGAGGTAGTTGAGACATGTGGGCCTCATCAATGAATCGTTGTGGCCCAATATATAAGATCCTCGATGATGGATGAATAAAAAAGATAAAGAAGTATTAAATTGGAATTCCAAGAGGTAGGTTAATGGGTGGGCCAAGCCCATTTTAGATGAACCCACCTGACGATGCCACAAAAGATGGATTATGTGGACAAGACAAACCGTCCATTTAGTCATTTGCCAAGTGGCGGCCCAACTTGTAGCGGAATAGTATGAGCTGTCCACTTTCGTTTCTCTTGTGATTAATAGAAGTACAGAACCCACAAAATGGGGCATATTTTGAACAGATTTTGGGCTGAATTTTGCTCTATTAACAGAGGAGTGTGGGGAGCACGTTGGGCCAATGTTGTCAGACTCGAACCCTATAAAAAAAAAACGGAATGCTGATTATCCTGTTCAAACCATCAAGCCGTTATTTAACCGGGACCAAAAAATGGTTAATGGGTCACCGGGGCAGTTCAACTATTTAGGCCGGTCCGAGTCTGACAACACTGTATTGGGTATCTTCTATTTTCGATAAACCGGTCACATCCATAGTGAAATGACAAATAAGCCCTAAGGGAAATTGGCTTCCGTCGGGACGAACCCGTTCCCACAACGTTTCAATTGCTTTTTGCAACCTTACATTAGGAATATCTTTTCATGAAATAAAGCACATAAACAAGCTGGAAGATATTCTCAATGCAAGGCCGTAAAAGTTGTTCGAAGGAATCGACGTTCTGTGCACCCATGGCTGCACTGGATGCGTAAACCCGCCAAACGAACACATCGTCTGGGTGAAAATAGGCTAACATTAACGGGCCTTTGGCCGTTAACTGGAGTGCATGATTAGAGGCCAGAAGATTTGTCCCTCGCCGTCGGTGGCTTCGTTGTTTATGGGGTTCCGGTGTGGAGTGAAGGTGCCGATGAGCTTCTCACTGTTGGAGGTGCTAGGGTTCAAAATGAGTATAGGGAGGGGGAGTTGGAACTCATGTGAAGAGAAAATGAAAAATTTTGTCTCTTTGTGTTCGGTTCAACATGATGGAATCAGTTGACGGCCAAACCCACATTACCGTTACACATTCTGCACTCATTCGATGTGGCCGAACGTGATTGGTGGGTGCACTTGTGCCTTGACCGAAGCCAAATTCATTGTTTATAACCAGATAAAAACGTTTTTATCTTTTTTTTTTTTTTTTTGTCTTCCCTTCCTTTGTTAAAACTCAAAAATGGAACGTGCTCAAATAACCATTCTACAGAAAAAGATAGATCTTTTCGTCCGAATTTGGCTTGATTAATAATTGATAGGCCAAAACCCAAAACCGACCACTAATCAAAAGTTTACATGCAACAAAAAAATTAGAGACAAAGTGGTTAATTGACCTCACGTCACTTTAGGAAGCCGAACCAACCTAAGAGTAGGTAATGGCCAAGCTAACTAACCTAGCTAAACCAACTTGACCAAGTTCATTTAAGCCTGACTGACCTGGCCCAACCAACCTAAATAAGCTCACCTAAGCCCAATTGGCTTGGCCGAACCAATTTCACCTGACCAAGTCAACTCGAAACACACATTTGGTAAACCACCGAGGAAGCAATATGTAGACATCTATCAAAGCATCAACACCATCGCATTCAAAGTGGGCACACTGCTTACCACATGCACAAGTGAACCGAGCTATGATCACATATGAATGGCATGCCCATTCTTGGATGAACCTCCTCTTCTATAAATAGGTGAAGCCCTTATTTTGTTTCAATACATTGCATTAAATACTATTACATACAGATACAACAAACATCTCAGCACTCCCTCATATCATGTCTCACTGAGTTCTTTAATTCATTTTTGTTATTTTTAACGTTACTGACTTGACTGTTGGAGCCCATGCCCTTTARAGATCATGTGGGACCTTTGACATTCCTTTAACCCTAGGTCTCTCGAGAAGAGGTAACACTCTCTGAGTCTAGTTGACATTCCAACTAAATGGAAATCTTCATCAACTTTCCAATTTCTCTTTTGTTGCAACATTAATTACCCTTTTTGGTCTTGAACAACTTGATCAGGTTCTTTGCTTTTCAAGAATCAAAATATCAATATCAGTGTACTAATAGTAATAACATACCGATACTCGGCTCTTTGACCGAGAGGGCTCATGACAACCTTCCTAAACTTTGAAAACCCATTTTGTATCCATGCGTTTCTATAGTCAGCAATAAAAATACGATTTTTTTTTTTAGGAGGTGCTTTGAGGGGAAGCTGACAGGGCTCTTGTTTCTTTTATATTCCGTCTCTCAACATCAATGATGTGGAAAATTCTTTGGATCGTTTAGTCTTTAGGATTTATATTCCGACTCAAACTCTACAAGTCGCTGTGCTAGCTAGGGAGAGAAATATTGATTTTTTTTTTCAAGCAAAAAATAATAATACATTATATCAAAGAGAAAGTTGTACAAGTAGTAGAGTGCCTTTGATATTTACTAAGCATGATAAGCCAAAAGATGAGCTTGTATGGTTTTAGTTCTGGGTATATAGATGAATTTTTTGTCTCTGAACTGGCTTTGGAGATGTGATATCCGCTCAAAATGCACTTGATCAATCCATATTCGATCCATTACTTGAAGATTTAATTTCTTAACTATCACTTCGGCGTCCAAGTAAACTTCCACCGATTGGCATTATAACTCTATATTGCACGGGCTTCTGCATCATAGCTGTGAACGGCTCTACAAAGTGACCCTTGGCCAGCAATAACCTGCATCAGGTTGTTTGATGACAAAAACGGATGCCTACATTGTTTGTGCATTGACCATAAGATCCATTTGATGAATCATTTTTTGACTAAGTACCTCATCATTTGGTCTGTTTCTAAGTGGCCGATGACTCAGAGG